CCAGTCTCTTCTTGAAAATGTCCAGTGATGGGACACACACAACTTCTGAAGGCAAGGCATTCCATTGGTTGATTGTTCTCACCATTAGGAAATTTCTCCTTGATTCTAGGTTGCTTCTATCCTTGATAATTTTCCATCCATTGGTTCTTGTCTTGCCTTCTGGTGCTTTGGAAAATAGGTAGATCCCCTCTTCTTTGTGGCAGCCCCTCAAATATTGAGGACATTATTGAGCACAGAACCAAAGTAATGGAGGAACTCTTCCTCTTACATTCCAGAAAGAAAATTATGGCAAGAAGTCATTAAATAGATGTCAGAGACAATGGGAATCAAAATGTTTACTGTTAACTAGAAAAGTAAAAGTGACTATTTTAATTTTCTTGGGCTGAAAACTAGATAGAGATGAGCAATATGCTGGAAAACTGAAGAGGATTTTAATCCTAGGAAGGAAGACAAGGATAGACAACATCTTGAAGGATATCAATATTTTCATGATAACAAAAATCAGAATAGTAAAAGCAATGGTTTGCGTCTTCAAATTATGAATGTGAACATTTTAATAATACCATGATCTTCAAGAAGGATGAATCAGTCCTTGACTAAGTAAAAATATGGGATTGTTTGTGGTGATGATCAGCAAGTAGAAATTACTATAATATGAGCATATGACATAAGCAGATGATGGACTAGGAACAAATGTTTATGCTTGACAAAATAGAGGGTAGTAAAAGAACAAGAAGACAATAGATAAGATAGACAGGATCAAAGAAATTTCAAAAATAATTTTGGGAAGAATTACAAATCATTATTGGAGGTAAAATGCTGAGCATTTTGTTCATACAGTCACCAGGAATCAAACTTCATAGCCCCTAACTAACATTGATGTATAAAGTAAGCTCATAAATAAAATCCTTCTCTCCATGTTAGCTCCCATGTCTTACCTTTCTCTTCTTTGGTCTATGTCCTAGTATGGTAATCTAATGGACAGTGACTTCCAGTAATCTGGGAATGACTATCCATTAGATTTCCTCATTTCTAGTTAACATTCTGAACCTGTGAAGCCATTATATATATTCAATGCTATATTATAAATTGTAAATGAACAAATCTCAGGATATAGTGAAACTTTTACAAATATGCCATTAGAATAAAGCCTAGCCAGGATTAAAAATACACATTTACTTTGTGCTAAATCATATTCTGAGGTTATAGATCACTGAACTATAGTCTTCATTTTCTTTTTTTTTAACCCATCTTTACCATTTTCCTTAATAATTAGAGAGTGACTGGCCCAAAGTCACCCAACCAGCTTTCGTGCCTCTCTCTCTCTCTCTTTCCTTCCTTCCCTCCCTCCCTCCCCCCCCTCTCTCTCTCTGTTGTGTGCATAGATGGTGGGTAATAAAAGTTAAAAGCTATGGGACCATCTGATGATGACCATAGCATATGAAAGATTATGATTTGGAATGTGCAACATTGTGAATGGATGTGATCCACAGGGGTGATTGTTCCAACACCAATGGGTGTACAAGATTTTTAGGTTTATTAATAGGTGTATAAGATTATTAATAGGTGTATAGGAATGAGATGAGTGAGTACAGAAAAAATGACTATGACTCCAATTGTTTCTGCCCACTCAATACGTTCCAGGAGAGCGGATTGCTCCAGGTCCCCTCCATTAAATGTTGCCATCTTGTGCAAACGAGAAGCATACCTTCTCTGTTGTGGCTCCCACCCTCTGGAACAATATTCCTCCAGAGATAAGGATAGCATCCTCTCTCATAGGGGCCCAGAAAACTTTGGAAACCTAGCTTTGGTCCCAGGCCTAGGATTGATGTTTGTTGTTAGTTTAATGGCCGCTAATTTGTTTTATGGATTTTATTATTAGAATAATTTAGTCAAAGCTGCCTGTGGTTAGTGTTTTTTGTCTCTTTTTAGTTTACACCCTGTCCACAATCCACTACATTGGGCATCCAATAAACTTAAAACAAACAAATAAGAAAGTTCAAGAATGGATGGAGTGTTTGGTGAGCTTCCACTTTGAAAAAAAAAAGCAAGCAAATTTTTGTTCTTCAGCAAGTCCCTGAGACTATAAATGAGAAAAAGAAAATTTATCGTTTCACTATAGATCTAGAGAACATGTATGGCCAAATGAATAGGCTTGAATGTTTATGAACATATGTTTAGATGTTTTGTGGAAATATGGTCCTGATGAAATTAAACTATGGATGAATAAATTGTTCAGCATTTAGCAGGGTATTAAAAATGATGTGGGGGCTCTTAGTTGTTTCATGTATTTGTGAACCATTGTGCCAATTGGGGTGAAATAAGTGGTGTGTTAATTGGGGAAGAGAAGATAAATGTATATTATATGCAGAAATGTCATATATTGAGAACTTGAATACTTTGCAGCAAATTTTGGATTAAGTGCACAATGCAATGAGTAACATTCTATCAAAGACCAAGACAATTGGTTTGACAGGGGAAAAAAAGGACTAAAAGCAAGTTACACATAAACGGCAAAAAAAAATAAAATGGAGCAAATAGATTACGGGTAGTCGTTGACTTGCAACTATTTTAGTTTAGTGACCATTCAAAGTTACAAGAACACTGAAAAAAATGACTTACACTTACAACCTTATGCAGCATCCCCATGGTCATGTGAATCAAAATTCAGGCACTTGGCAACCAGCATGTCTATATGATGGTTGCAGCCTCTCAGGGTCATGTGATTGAAATTCGAGACCATCCCAGCCAGCTTCCGACAAGCAAAGTCAATGGGGGAATTTGGATTCTCTTAACGGCTGTGTGATTCACTTATCAACTTGAAATTATTCACTTAACATCCATGGCAAAACAAGGTTGTAAAATTTGGGTGCAACTCACTTAATCACCTTACTTAGCAATGGGAAATTCTGGTTCCAATTGCGGCCATAAATCAAGGACTACTTGTAATATGCTGAATGTTTATTAACAATGGGAAAATGCATTCAGAAATCTGAAGATGCGTAAATGTTGGTAGAAAACAAATGAGAATGACTAGTAATATGCTGAAGAAGTGTGGAGGGGACAGAATTCCATTGGTAAAGCAGGAGAAGATTAAGTTTTGTTCAATTCCACAGAGTCATTCAATGATAACACATATTCTTCAATGGGCTGCTGTTTAACAAATATTGCATGCCTGGTTTGTTCTTAAGTTGTCTTTAAAGTCTACTCTTCCATTTTCTTGGATTCGTGGAGGGATTTTCCAACCCTAAGGTTGGGCACTCTAAGGAAAATTCAGTTGCCTACCCTTGGAGCAGTTTACTCCTAGTTTACTAATTGCCTTTAGTGAGCATATAATGCATTTCCAACCATCACAGACACATTGTTCAAAACTTGTGATAAGATTAATATCCATGAAGAGATAATAGAGAAATCGGAGTCAGATTTTATTTCTCTTAAAGGTTTTTAAAGCTTTAATAATTAGAAATAGGTCAAGAAAATAGTTGTGTTAAATTGCTCCTTCTTTCAGGATACTCCATACAGTCTTTTAATTCCTGCCATATCTCTAGTTTTGATTGGTACTGATTTATTTATTTGTTTATTTTCACACTTCTTAATAATAATAGCTCACACTTGGTGAGTTGAACTTCTATATACAGAGAAGATACTCTCTTTCCCAAATTCTGTTTTTGGAGAGACAAGCAAAGAAAAAGTTTGGGAATTGGGGGCAATGAGAAGAGGGACTGATGTCCCTACATGATATGTAGAATAAGGTTTTATATTAAAATTCCCAGCATCCCCGTGAAATGACATTTCCTACAATGCTTAAAGGAAAAATATTTACAATGGTATAAAATACACATCAGTTTGTAATATTGATAGCTAGAGTTATATATTATCAGTTATAAGATGATAAGTGTGTCAGCTGCACATATTATCCAAAGGCATCCTGATAGAAACACCTTCTTAATCCTAGTAAAATTATGTCATGAATAATGTTGCCAGGTGTCCACTATTTGAGCGGACAGTCCGCTTTTTTCACATTATGTTCACTATTTTTTTTCACAAAATAGTGGACATTTTTTTTATTCAAAAGCTTTATGATGAAATTAAAATGCAATTTAATATTTTACATATTATTATAATATATTTGATGTTTTGAATTTTAAGTAAAGTTTTGAAGTGATTATTTTAATACGTGTTAAAATGTTTGTAAGAAAATATATAATTTAATTGTAAATTTTTTTTTATTTTTTTACTACTTAACCAACACCACCACCCCGCTTGTCCGCTATTTTTTGGAAGCAAACCTGGCAACCCTAGACATGAAATTAATTGTATGAACATACGTTACAAATGCTCCACCACTTCATTCAAACTTGAAAGCCAGAATAAATAATTATAGCATTCCCTTCAAAGATGATTGCATTGCCTGCAAAATTATGTACAAAATATAGAAAGGCCTTTAAATTGTCTGTTTTAGACTTATCAGCCAACTGAAAAATTAGAGAAAAATAGAATGCACAGAATTTTCATGGAATTTAGAATGAACAATTTATTTTATGAATGAAACACTCTCAATCCTAGCTATTATTCAATGATTACAACAGCCTTGCAGTGTTTTTATCCCACACTCAAACAAAACATCTGAATATGAGGTAGCTTCTTTTAGTTGCTAGGTGACTACTCATAAACTTCAATGAGGGATGAAATGAACTGGTTTAAGGAGAGGAAAGGGGTCAAGACCCGGGGAAGAAAAGATAGTTGAACAGCTAATCTTGTCTTCTGTATCATCCACTTGTTGAGAGCTGGCCACATCAAAGCGCTCTGCTATTAGTTCCTGATAAACCCCACCTGCTTACTATGCACCCTCTTTTGCACCTCCAGATGCGCTGCAACTTGGAGAATTGCCTGAGGGGAAACCTTCACATGGAAAACAGGAAAAAGAGAAATGGAACTAAATGGAACCCCTTTCCAAAACTAGAGCAGGATGCTTTTAATTTAAGTTTTTTGACTCTCACCTTCTCTTCTTTGGGTGCCAAGAGTTGCAGGGAAAAGTGAAGCTGCAAGGCAACTCAGAGTTATCAGCCAAGGTAGAGACATTTCGGGCAACCCAGGACTAGCTTTGTCTCCAGAGGTGACTCAAATCCAACGTTCTTCCCAGCGGAGGTCTTGAATGGAGAGGTAGTCTCTGGTGGCTTTTCAGCTGCAGCCTATTCCACTGTGCCTCCTTGTCTTCTTTCAGGGAATTTTTATTGCCTCTCCTGCCTGAATCATTCTCAACAGGAAGAAAGGAGCTTGTCTCCACTCTGACTCACCTTGTGAATTAAAAAAAGAAGGGGGGGAGGAGGGAGCAGCCCATGTACAGTGCAAGGAGGTATAATACTTAACTATTTCTTCTTAGTTGTTCAGAGGGGCGGTTCTCTACAGAGTACAGCAGCAACCGCCCCTGGCCACAAGCCAGAAGGGAGTGGGATGGCAGCAGGAGGATGGGAAGTAAGATTTAAGCCTGGAGCTTTCCCTCCTCTAAGAGGAGCTGCTTAGAGTAGCTATGTGAAGGTCAACTTCACTTCCCAAAGAAAAGGAACACACCATTTTTCTACATTTTGTTTTCCAGATGTTGGAGTGATCTGGGCATGTTCTCACTCACCTCCAGTCAATTAGAGTAATTTTGAAGACTCTCAGCCTGATGATTATAGGGAATGCTGCAGCAGACTTCATGTTTGCCAGCTTTTGAATTTACAATGCAAAGGAAGATTAGATAGCTTGATCCATTCAGATTAAAGTACTTGGACATATTTGGAAGCAGAGTTGGTACTGTATATACATTTAGGGAAATAAGTAACATGACTGAATTGAGCTGGATTCTTTTTTTTTTTTTTTTAAGTTTTGATCTCAGCTTTACTTTTCACAACTAACAACACAAGCCATATTTAGGGGAGGAAATATTATTACAAGCTCCTTCTTATCAATTCTGATATTAAAGTTATATCCATTTACATTCAGTGCTTTTTTGGGGGTGGGTGGGGGTGGGGAGAGGGAATAAAAAGATATTAAGTGCACAATATCTTTATATCAATGTTTAGATAAGGCAGGCACTACATCTGAATATTTATAACCAGAATTTGGCTACTTTCATAGATGACAAGAACAAAGAGCAATGGATCAAATCAGTGGTGGGTTTCAAAATTTTTTACTACTGGTTCTGTGGCTTGATGGACGTGGCATGGCTTGGTGGGTGTGGCTTGGTGGGCGTGACGGGGAAGGATACTGTAAAATCTCCATTCCCACCCCACTCCAGAGGAAGGATACTGCAAAATCCCCATTCCCTCCCGATCAGCTGGGACTTGGGAAGCAGAGACTAGATGGGGGTGGAGCCAGTCAGACTTTTTACTACCGGTTCTCCAAACTACTCAAAATTTCTGTGACTGGTTTTCCAGAACTGGTCAAAACCCACTGAAACTGGTGGGTTTCAGAACTGCTGAAACCCACCTCTGGATCAAATGCAGGAGCTGAAGCAGAACCATTTACTTTCTGGAATTGTTTTCTCCTTGACTAAAAAACTCAAATAATAAAGAGTTTCAGCTTCTTTACAACAATATTTGTAAAGCTGAATTCTTTATTAATCCAAGAGCTGGATTCTTGATGACTTAATCCAGGTCTCTGTGTGGCTCTCTTGGCAAGCCTTTAGAATTGGTTTGCCGTAACTTCCTTCAGGCATTATATTTCAACTTTCCAGCCTAGCCTGTAGGCTCAGGATTTCCAGATGGCTTCCAATCCAAGTGCTAATCAGGTCTAATCTTGCTTAGCTTTTCAAGATCAGCTAAGGAAGTATTTTTTAAATTTGGAAGCTTGAAGATGTATGGACTTCAACTCCCAGTATTTCCCAGCCAGCCCATTTTCCAGACTATGATTTATGAAATTTAAGAATAATCCAGCAACTTCATCTTCTATTATTTCAGCTTTCAGAGTTCCACTGATCCTCAAGAGCAATTATTTGTATTTCCATAGTTACCAGCAATGCAAGAGTAAAGACGAAAGCACATAATTCATTTAGCCCAGAATTATACAATTTAGAGTTTAAGAGCTTTGGGTAACCCATCACTACCTCTACCACCACCATTAGACAAATTTCTCCAAAGCCCCTTTATTGTCCTATTTAATAAAGGATAAATAGTAATTAAGCTATTCTTAATTAAAAAAAAACAGATGTCTTATCCTTTTAATAATATATAATTTGAAAGAAATTTTGATTTAATTTTTGTCTTTTTTAGTTCTTGCCTTGCCGGGTTTTATCCATCTGTTGAAGCACAACAGATGGATAGCTTTAGAGCTGAAGCTAACCCTTTGAAAAAAGTTATGTACTCTGTTTTAGCCTTACTTTTTCCACAAGTAATACCTTCTTAAAACATATGGCACCTAAGTCCCAGCTCTTGCTGTACCAGTAATAATAAATACGTTCCTCCCCACATTTCTGCTTTGATGAAAAGCAGAAGTCCTTACTTGAGGCTTACTTACTTGAGGAAATCCTACATAGCTACATCATAGCTATATCAACCCCTATATCATAGCCTCTTTACATCAAAAGCCAACTTGATGGTGACATCACGCAAGACCTCCCACAGCTCCAAGATCAGTGCTGCTGATTCCTAACTCTAATTTTATATAATTAATGCTTAGATGATTTTCTTAATCTTTTGAGTTGTCTGACAGCTTCCTCAGCCTTAAGCTTCTGGTGGTGGTTCAGACAGGGTGATGTTTTGTGGTTGCTCCTGGCTGGGAGGATAAGGAAAGGCACCGCTATAGGACTATGCATAAGATCATCCCCTTTTGATTTGGACTGTCAGATTGGCAAATGAGGCCTGGCAGCAGAACGCTAAGGCAGCAGAGATGGAAAGTATCAAAGAGCTTCAAAGTGTCTCCACAGGAACTGAAAAGTGAAAATGTCATTAGCAATTTCAGGGACAAAGAAAAAAATTGGGAGATGACAACGATTTTGAATCCGATGACAAAATCTGAACAAGAAACCAAGGAAGCAAGAGGAGAGACCTGTAGGTTTCAGAATCAGAAACTAATTCCAATCTGTATGACATGTAGATGATACATCTATGAAATCATTTCATAGGACTAGCACTCTCCCAGAAGACAAAATAGTCTGCCTTTTACCCAAAGCTCTTATCTGAGTGATGATGAAAAGCTGATTTGAAATACAAAATCAAGAGATCTGAACCTGAGACTCTCACTGTTGTTGTTCTTCTGGACTTTTCTTTCCCTCCTGAAGCAGATTTCTCCTCAAATCAGTTCTGGTCAGGCAGAATCACTTTCTTCTCCCATCCAGCCACATTTTTCAAATTTCTCTGGATGTATCTCACACACCTTCTCTACTTTACAATCTTAAAGCCCCCATCCACATCCAATATGTACACACACACACTATGCAAGAAATAGCAGGATACCCACAAGTTTGGTGTTCCAGTATAAAGACAATTAGAACGGGTATCTGATCTTGCTAATATAATGGGTTGGAATAAAAACAGAGATAAAATCTATTTGTATGTTTACTATATGTTTAAGTTCACATACGTCCTTCTTTGTGTATTTGTATTCTTAAGAAAGGAAATTTTCTCATAGTAGCCATCTGTAGTTGTGAATGACTAACTGTTCAGAGAGTTCATGCCCTTAATGGAGGCATGATTTAAAGATACATGTTGCCATACCTTATCTCTTCCTGATGTGAATGAAGGCCAGCTTTTTAGAATAACAATTAGGGCTCAGTTTATATTGTCTATCAACATTATTACTGCATGTTGCTTTCCAGTGGTGAAATTCAAAAATTTCCCCTACCGGTTCTGTGGACATGGCTTGGTGGGTGTGGCTAGGTGGTCATGTGACCGGGTGGGTGTGGCTGCACAACCGACTCACACACAATGCAAAAGCAGCTGGACTTCACACAAAATGGCTCCTGCAACAAGCAGGAACCTCACAGACAATCAGGCACAGCTGATTGTCGCATAGCTGATTGTTGGAACTTTTTAAAAAACTTTTTAAAGCACTTTTTTACCACCAGTTTGAGCGAATAGGTAGTAAAAAAAAATGTTTTAAAAAAGTAAAAATAAAGTTCCAACGATTGGCACAGCTGATTGTCACACTTTTTAAAGCATTTTTTTTACTACCGGTTCGGGCGAACGGTAGCATTTTTTACTACCGGTTCGGGCAAACCAGCCCAAATTGGTAGCATTTCACCCCTGTTGCTTTCCCATCATGAAGGATAGCCAACCCACTTGCTTCCTTATCAGTTGTAAAGCAATTCACTCAGCAATTAATTCTTCATTTGGGATCTTCTGCCACTGTGTGCAACTACTCAGTCTTTGATCAATTTACTACATAAGTAGGTCTTATATTGTGGCTCTTGCTTTTGGCTTTTCTGGCTGCAAGAGACCAGCTCAAGCTTACAGCTCAAGCTGTAACCTGCTAATTTTGGACTTGTAAAACATGTAGACTTTCTCCAAGTTATTGGCTTTCTTGGTAGGTACACTGAGTGCTTCTTTATCAGAGACAAATTGCTTGTGTCTAACCACGCTTGGCCAAATAAATCATTCCATTCTATTCTAAATGATTTATAACTATATTAGCATCCAAAGCCAAAATAGCCATGGAGGCATTGTGCCCGGTGACTTGTTGAGGAAGGAGCTTTTCCACAATAGACTGGCAAAGCCAACTGGAGCTGAACAGATCACTCTTTGATAATGCCTTCTTGAGAGTTGTCCCCAAGGAACCCTAAAGAGCCTGCACATGAAGTTTTCTATTTGGAGAAAAAAGAAAGTGTTCCTGTCAATTTGGACCACAGAAAAATCTGACCACCTGCTTAAGCATTGCTAATAAAATTAACCTGAATTACTAAAGAATATTTTTTTAATAGAGTGAAGGGGATGGTGGTGGTTCCAGTTTGCTTTCATAATTAATTATCCACTGCAAATTTGGAATTAAGTGATGAGAGTTATTCTGAAGAAATGCCACATATGGAAGTCGGATCTTGTGCATATGAATAAATAATAAATAATAAATGTGAACAACTATCTACTTATTTAGGTACAATCTAAGTGCCACTTAAATCATAGTAAATTCTCCCTCCCTTTTCTCAACAGATTCTGGTTTGTCCCTATCAAGCATGATCTTCAGTTGTCTTGGCAGTTGATTTGAGTTTGGGGATTCATGTCTCAATCTTGAAGTCAATCAGTTGATTCCCTCTTAAAAAAATAATTTGTTTTGGAACATTAGTAAGCCATGAAACTTCAGTTGCTGGCTGCTCTAATCAACTGTGTATAATGTATGCATTGAGGAAAAGGGCAGCGTAAAATGTGGGGACAAAGTTTGTTTATTAAATAGTCAAACCACTATGATCAAACAATCTTTCTTGCAACAAATTATCACTTTTATTTGTATTATACAGGTAGTCCTCGATTTACAACAGTTTAGTGACTTACAATGGCACTGAAAAAAGTAACTTATGACTATTTTTCACA